TTGGACCAGAATTAGATGGGGAAAAGCCGTGGCGGGGTCAGGTGTTCTCTTTTTAGGGCTAGTGGCGGTGGCCTCTCGGGTAAGAGGAGACGGGCCGCTTCAGCTCAAAAGCATGAGAAAGACTTCACTCTCTAGCTGCGAAGCGTTATGCCAAGGACTTCGCAGACTCTAGGAGCTATTCTTGACTGCACAGAACTTCTCAGTCTCAGTGGAGTGGCTTACGGCCAACAAAGAACTTCTAAATGCTGAAGTGGCAATCCAAGTCTCTGCAACAACGACTCAGCCATCTGAGCTGTGCAGAACACTACCATCAGGTAGGAGTTGAGGAAGCGGTTGGTCGGGAAGCGCTGCAGTACACGCTTCTGTGCCTGACTCGTGCGATCCGTGGGGTGGTAGCATACTTTCACGGTGTCCAGCATGCCACCCACCGTCCACGGACGCTTCGGCTTGGCGCCCTCAATCTCCATCCAGAAACGCTTCCGCCGCAATTCCTGGAATTGCTGCGGAAGCGAGGTGTAGCCGCCCCCGTTCTCGTTCAGATCCTGAAAGAGCTCCACTGCATAATCCATCATTCCAGGGAGTTGAAACAAGCCCATGTTTGGAATCATGGGGATAACAGCGTGAGTGCTATTGGTTTGTTGGTCAACCATCGTGGATTCACCTCCAAGCGGGTACCGACTCACCACGAAACATGACTCACAGCCGCAATCTATGGGTTCAGCATCAACGACATCATGAGCTTCACAGGCCAATGTTTGTCAAGAATGCAGGAATCCAGAGTTTACTTAGCTGAGAACATCTTCGGTTGGAGGCCATCGCTGGTAGGTTGGAGGCATATAGAGAAGCACGGTTGGTTCCCCGGGGTCGGCGGCAGGGGCGGCAGCCCTTAAATTAGATATACTCCCAAACATTCCCAGACCCTCCATGTATGAAATCATACATAATCATAAGTATAATGGTTACACATACGTTTACACCATTTATGAATTTATAGTATATGGATGGTTTGGGTATGTTCATCCATCGCGAGGTGGAGCTGGACTCTTCCAGGCTCTGGACTCCGAATTGCCAGCAACCAGATTCCCTCCCTAGGGCTCCAACTGGTTAGGGTGGGTGCCAGGGGCGTCGGTGCCCACCGAACCTGAAGATCTGCTTGGAGACCTAGGGCCTAAACACTTTGGAGCGAGGTCGGAAATCGAGGTTGGGATTGGGGAACTATCCCATAGCTAGCCCAGGTCAATTTGTGTCCTTTTTCAGGTAAGACGGATGGTCACCTCTCTACCAGGAACCCTGTGCCTGTACGCTTTTGCACCTGCGCCGACTACACTGACAGCTACGATCGCTACACCTCCTGCCGGATCGGAGGGACAGCAGCAGTTCCATAAAGCCTGAGTTGGGTGTACTCAGAACACATCCACCGGATGGGACCTCAAAAAGACCTCCTTAGTCTGTGACTGGTGGGACTTGGTTATACATGTTGAAAAATGTTGAAACACATTGAAAATAAACGCGGTTATTGAGATAAACACAGGGTGTTTTCAATGCAAAGAGCGACCCATCGTGACAGGATCAAGGGTTGGCCTTGAGCTCTGTTGTTCGCCATATGGCCAACTGTCCATCAACTCGTCCCAGAAGTGGTCCTTTCAACATCAAGCTCAGCTTGCACCAGATCATTGTGTAGTCCTGAGCAGTTTTGGGGGCCAAGGGCACAAGATGGATTGGCATCCTGTAAAGTCTATCAATGGCTGTAAATGACCAAGTGTGGTGTCTTGCTGCTGCTGGGATCCGGTAACCCCAGTTTTGACCTGAAGGCATATGTGGGATGCATCGATTGTATTGTATCAACACAGCCAATCTATTCTTTATGAAATTGCTTCCGATTCGAATGGTCTTTGGGGTCTCACGTCCGATTCGGATGGTCCGTTCGACCCTTAATCAGGGATTCCATGACACTCTTTGACCAGTTCAGGCCAGTTCAGATCATGGCGCCGTGGAGCCGAAACGAACGCCACGCCGTGGCACCGGCACGTCCGTCTGCAGGGCTCCAAGCTAACATCCCAAGGTGTCTGACTAGCGAGAGATCTCTGGAAAAGCGAAGCGAAAACACACACACTCCACCTGTTGGTGTTTCGTGGGGGGGTGCTCAAATTTGGAGGTGAACCATGTGTATCCATCCCAGGTGCTCCATGTATGGAATATTTACCTACATTGACCCCTGAATCCACCCCAATGTATGTAAATATGTCATACATGGAGTGTTTGGGTCTGTTATCCACTTTTCCTAGAGGTGTAGGGGTGAAACATCCACAGTCACCCACTCCACATGTGCCCTGCAGTCGACCACTCGAGTGGTTTGAAACCAGGCATTCGTGGACCCTTGCTCTTGAGGTTTGCTCTCTTGGTGCGGTTGGCCTGAAGTCGGTCTGTTCAGCACTCCGAATCCATGCGTCTGTTCAGACACCGGAGGAGAAGACACAATCCCAAACACCTCAAAGACATAGAGCTTCGATTCGTTTCAGGAACGCTCCCTTTACTTCGGTCCAAGGGTGACCGTCACCCTCGTGCTTCGTTCAGCATGCGAGCATCGATGGAAGTGGGCTGGGAAAGGGAGGCTACAGAAACCTTCCGAGTGGTCCAGTCCGGTGAAGTGGAGGTTGACCATCGGTTGCTGTCCTCCACCGCCGCGTGGCTGAACCCGTTCCACTCGCCCAGCTCAGCCAAGTCGTTGTTTTTTTGTTTTGTTTCATTTAGTCCAGCCACGCCGGTTGCACTTCTCCAACTTCCTGAAGGCTGAGGGAAACTGGGGTGAAGATTGAAAACATGTGGATCAGGTATGGGACACTCCAAAGATCTCTCAAGCACCTCTGTTTTTTGGAATGGAAACAACGTCCTAGCATGTCCTAGCCTTTGAATCATCATACTTACAGTAGTACTTATGTACTGGGGTTTGTCCCGTAAGATTTGGTAGCTGGAAGACAACAAGAATAGGTTGTATTATACTAGCATTGCTGGAAACGCCTCGCATTTGATCAAGTTCCATGTGCTGGAGCCGCTGGAGGGAGTTTATGAGTTGATGAGTTGATGAGATTGGGAGGCACCAGCAAGCGACAAAAAACAAAACGATTTGATTTTCCCAATTATATATGTTGTTCCAGTTCAAGGTCATTTGATTGGCAAACGTGTGTGATGCTCACACCAAAAATTTGCATGGACACTTTCGTAAGGTAGACAACCTGCCAAGCAAGAACTGCAAACATCACAGCTGCCAGGTCACCAATAGTTCGACCTCCAACAGGGCCTAACAACCCTCTGTTCAGGCCACTGAAGATCCCATGTACCCTCGAAGACTATGGTTCTTGCAGTTCACGCAGCACCTCGTCTAAAACAAAAACTATGGCGCGAGACAAATGAACGTGCAGTCAAGGAAAGGTCACATGTCGAAGGGTGCCACCTCTGGGGTGTCGATTTTTTGTTTGTTTTTTTTTTAAATTTCGTCACGTCTGGTAGCGCGTTCACATGGTACTTTGAGCACCTTCAGTTGCAAATTTCCTGGTAAGCGCGGCACTTTGCGCACTGGAAGTGCAGATTTTGTGGCAAGTGCAGCACTTCGTGACCTCGAAGTGCAGATTTCCTGGCAAGCGCAGGTGATGACCCTGACAATCATCTCTGCAACTAATATGAGGAACGATTACGAGGACGACGACGACGACGACGATGATGAACATCAGGATGATGATGATGATGATGATGATGACGATGGTGATGGTGGTGATAAATCATCAAGAAGATGATCTTCAATGTGATGTGTAAAACGATGGTAAAGATGACAGTTAGACGGTTAGACGGTTGAAGTTGGTATATAGCCGTTCTTGAAGGAGAACCCTTCCCAGCTGCTTTCTGAGAAGATCGATTCCAGCAGCAAGCACCGACGCCTATTCAATCTTTACGTTACCGAGGATACACCCCGCGCAGCGCTGTCAAGCGCTCAGCTTTGGCACGCAGCGGCTCACTTTCCCACACGGGCATCTTGCTACATTGGAATGGTCCATGGTCCATTCCTGCTCCAATTTTTTTCCCCTCACATGGCTCACAAAAAAGGTCTGCTACATTGGAGTGGCTCTTGCCTCTTCTGAATTTTGCATTCGGGTGGCTCACAGAAGGTCTGCTACCTAGGGCTCGGACTGGCCCCTGCGCCCTCTTAAATTTTACCCTTGGCTGGCTGCCTCCGGGGCGCCAGCCTCGTTGAGCTCGTTCGAGTTGGAGCCTTCTTGAATCAGGTGAGGATTTATAATGCGTTGGGAGTCCGATCGAAGGAGTCCTGCTGCTGGTACGCGTTCTGGGTGTCCTCGTGTCTTGTTCTCTCCCTCGGCACTGCTTCTGGCGCTTGCGGATTGGCTCGTCTTGAGGGGTTTCTCCCCTGGTTGTTTTCAGCATTGCGCTGAAAGAGCTCTCTAATTGTGACAGTCTGTGTCTGTCGTGGGGCGTCACTGCGTCCTGATCCACCCTGTCCGTGCAAAAGTCTGCAGGCAAGCGCAACCCAATGTTCAAGACAATGGGGCACTGATGCTTGAGCAGCTGCCACGGTTCATCATTCTGATAGTGAGTGACAGTGCCAGGTTGCTCGCAGGTCAGACAGGTTTGCTCCGGTCTGTGACGAACCAGGCATTGCACAATGTAGCGAAATACAGCAGGATACTCATTTCCCGTGCAGACAGCCCGGCAGGTAGTGGTCCAGACTTGATGGAGCTCTTGCCTGAGTGGGTGCATCAGAAGTTCAGGGGCGTCACAGTGCAGCAAGAGATTGCATCCAAGAATCGGTGCCATCTGATCATCGGCCAATTTCACCGGAAACGCAATCCATCTGTTGTCAGGGTTGAGGATGATCATGAGGTGCAACATGGAGAGCTTTCGAGATGCATTGCACTGATGACGCAGTTGATCAGGCTTGTGAGGATTGCACTTGCATCCCTTGTTCTGAAAGACCTCGATCAACAGTTGGTGGTATGTGTCAGACAGTCTATAGTGTTCCCCGCGGTAGTGCTGCAGGTGGCGAATGTCCATTGAACGACGAAAATGCTGACCGCAAATGACGCGGAGCTGGGTCAAATGAAAAGCGTCCTCAGGTGACTCAAAAATGGCATATAATGGCATCAAGGTCTCCTTGTTCAGGTGCAGTCGCTTGTCATGCCTTGATCCAAGAGCGCAGCCGCCTTGCATAAGTTACATGGTGAGTCAGTGTATTGGGCAGTCCATTCATGAAAGACAGCAAGAGCTCCAGTGGAGAGTTCACTGTGGATTTGCCACACAGTGTTGTCCAAGAAAGCTGCAAAGAGCCTCATCTTGAGCAAGACGGTTCCAGGCAGGCTTGCAGGTCACGTCGACGTTCCAAAAGGGACATCGCAGGCGCCTGATCCTCGTCGTCGCAATTCTTGCTGATTGTGCAAAAACTTGAGACAGTGATTGCATTGTGAGAACCCGTCATGACAGTCTCTGGCCATGAAACCAATCTTCCGGGTCTGATGCATGGAGTGAGCCGTACTCTGATGTGCATACAAACACTTCAAGGTGGAAAACGGCTGAGCAGCGATCACACACGATGGAAGGCTCTGGTAGGCCACGCATGGTGGGTCCTGTCAATTGGGTCTGAAGTTGATCGGATGGCAAATGCATGACTGGTTGTCTGATTACCTTTGTCATATCATCATGTTGAGTTATGGCATCTCTGCGGTCAACTCCTGCAAGCTCAGTCAGCCCCCCTCTTCCAGAGGTAGACTAATGGCGGCTCAAGGCGATTGTGGGCTAAAAAATCTGCATGTGACATGTGAATGGTATAGAGAGGCTTTCTGCAGATGCTTGGTAGAAGGTGACAGTGCGTCGAACACCTTGTGGGGCAATACCTACGGTACAAACGCCATACATCAAAGTGCTCAAGACAGTCGATTTCCAAAATTGTAGCTTCTGTCTCAATGAGAGCTTTGACCGCCGCATGAGCCAAGGCCGGAGGCGTTAAAAGGCAACCTTTGCAACATGCAATCTGTGTGTCAATGTCTGCTCCTCGAAATTGTTGTATGAGACCACTACGCCTAAGTATTGAATCTGTGTCTGGAGTTTTATGCATGTGGTGCTTCCATTTGCACGTGGATCCTTGAGGCAGAACCCACCTTTTGTGCTCTGGACGATCCGATGATGCCATCGATTGGCATGTTTGCCCTTTGAGCGTAACTCAATTAGATTAGCTTATTACGGCCTTATTTGTAACATTACCCTCCACCTCAAAAGGACCAGTTTTACGAGGTCCTGCTGTAAAGACCCAGTTTTACGAGGTCACATTTTCTTTGACCTTCAAAAACTTTCAGGTCACCATTTCCACGGAAGATTCTTTGGGCATTAAGGTCACCACTTCCACACAAATTTCTTTGGGCATTAAGGTCACTTCCATGGAACATTCTTTTGGGTTCGATGGTCCTTATACATATATGTGCATGCATACCGGAGACATGGTACCCATACGCTCACTTTTAGCGGCGCCATGCCTTACGCAAGTCCACGCGTGCCAATCTTTTCTTGGTGGATTTTTTGCGCACGTTGTTTGCTCAATTGACCAATTACATTGCCATGATACGTGGCTACGTGGGAGTCATGTTTGCTGCTTGCAATTGCACGAGTGCATTGTTCAAGCCGATTACAGTTCATCGTCAAATCGCATTAGAAGCTTGCAGGTCCCATGCTATAGAGTCACGCTAGAGTCATGCCCAATGATGTCCATGGCGAAGTTCTTGACGTCCTTTACTAAGTAAAGGACGTCAAAAACTTTATGGTTTAGGTGGGAGTCACGCGAGAGTCACAGTAGAGTCACGGTCCCATGCCCAGGCCAGAAACGGCCAATTTCAACCACATGCATTGTCTGTGTTGTAACGCATCGACCGTGCTTCATATTAAAAAGATCTAGCAGCCTGGGCGCCACTGCCACAAATATTTTGTTTGTGCGATGTTCGCGCGAAACGGAAAGTAGAGCAAAACGCTCCTGGAAGGCCATTGGTGCAGCATGTTGAATCACAATCATCGTGCCATGTATCTGTGCACCAAATATGCATAAAGTAAAAGACGTCTTTTACTTTTACCATTTGCCAAGTAAAAGACGTCTTTACTTCTTACAGCTGCCAAAGTAAAAGACGTCCTTTACGGAGTAAAGTCGGGCTTTCCACCATTTCCACGAAAAGTTTTTGGAGGTCGAATTTTGCTATCAGTTTTGCAGAAAATAGAGCCCAGTAAAACGAGGCCTTTGATTTGGAGGGTTAAAAAACAAGTGTGGAATAAGTACTCTGGAAGGCTTGGGGGGGTTGGGCTGGAGGGGGTTGGGCCCTTCATGATTAAGTGCATTCGATTTCTGCACATTCAGACCTTTGAGCTGAATAAGTGCATTCGATTTCTGCACATTCAGACCACCCGTAGTGAAGCTATCACTATAAATGTCATCAGCGAAGATAGTCATATATTGGTGAGTCCAGTCATGCAGTGCAGCCTCAAAAATGTTGAGTGAGACTGTGTGCAAGAATGCACCAAAAAAGGAGCTGCTTGACACCCCTGACGATTTGTGCACTGTATCCCTTGTGATGGATGAGGTAGTGTGTACCAAGGCGCCATTGTTCAAGCAGGTGTTGAAGTTTTTGGGGTCAATCTCAAGGTCCCGCAGCCCTTTGAACAGTTCAGTTGTTGGGAGGGCATCAAAGGCACGTGAGAGGTCAAGGCTTTAATCTGAATACCACCAAAGACATCAGGTGGGGGTTGTTGTTCCTCACGACACGGGTGGAGTTGAAATGGACAAGTTGTTTGATTGCAGTGTTGAATGACTCTACAAACAGCATCAAGAATGCCCGTCCTTGGGAGATAAGCGAATTGTGGCTGCCGGCACAACTGATGAAGACACTGATCACGTGCTTGTTTGGCCAGGATGCCTATATGATGGCCTTCCTAGAAGGTCCTGTAAGGCCAGGGGCCTGAGGAGGTCAGGTCACAAAGTGTTGCATCTTTCCCTTTTTTGGTGGGTAAGCGGAAGTTGGCCCCACCAGCGTGTCAGGCTTGTCATCAGGCGACGAGCAATGAGAGTCGGTGCAACTAATTATCCAGCAGGGAGCTGGGCCGCAGTTGGGTGCGGTAGCCTTTGAAGGGTATCTCACTTATGGCATGAAGTCAACCGTTGAACAAGTTCATCCTTTTTGGGCAGGGAGAGACCACTACTGTTCCAAGTAAAGAAGTTAATGTTGTGCTTCTGACAACCAGTATTATGGGAGGAGGTGGTGGTGGAAAAAGTTGATTGAGTAGTGGACCTGGTTTGGGTGTAAGTCACAGGTGGTGGACAAGTAGCCTTAGAATGCCTTAGATGCATACATTCTGCCTTTGTACCAGGTGTACCCATGCACAGCTGCACGTCGTTGGGCGCGATGGCAGCTCCGTTTCCCCTTCGAGGGCAGGCAAGTTCCCTGATTCCCTGCTTGCCTCGAGCGGGATCATGCTTTGGCATGCCTTGGCCCACCTTCAGCCAGTCAAAGCAGGTAGCTTCCCAGTCCTGCAGGCCGTCAACCGCTATCGAGCCTCTAGATCCATGTTCGTTTGCTGCGAACCAAGTGTCAACTAGCGTGGTTTGGGCAGCTTCAGAAGAGTGCAGACACTCTCCAACCCTCACCTCCTTCGAACAGCCTGGGGTGCAGTGCAGTGATCACTAGCACGACGAGATCGAAGCATGCGGCTGAACGATCCAGGACTGGGCTGGGTGTTTCAAGTCTGGCACAAAAAGACCAGAATGGAGTCAAGCTAAACAAGGGGCGCTATGGCTCAAGTGGTGTGGGAGCTCCTACGCGGCCGGGCTTCTGGCATGTGTTATGGAACAGGAGGCTTCAGGCATCTTCAGGCCCCACGGCCTGGGGCTGAGCCGGGGCCGCATCAACTGTGCGCGCTGCGGCTGGACGATGGTACGGAACACGGGCATGTTTGCGAGGCCACCAGGTCACCAAGTTAGCAGGATGGCTCAAATTTCTCTGCATCTTCGAGGGGCCTGTAGGCACCTGCAGCGCCACCAGCACGCAGCCTTTCACCTCAGCCAAGACACTGCTGTCTGCCATTTTGTCTGTTCGCTGACTAGCTTCAAGCTAGCCATGAACTGCGGTGCCCGATGGTACCCACTGTTGCAGTGGCGCAAGATAGCCCACCTGTTCTGAATCGCTGTCCACCCGGCTCTTTGTGTGCTGCCTTCATGCATAACGGTTGGGGCCTTGAGAGCCTCCTCAAGACATCGACCCCCGGCGGGGGAGGGACTCCACATCGCCGCTCCCATGGGGGACCGCTGCTTGCAGCATCACAATCAGGATGGGTGCTATAATTGGCGTCGACCTGTCCACCTGTTGGTGTCGACCTGCTTCTGCACAAATCGAATTCTTCGCCCGTGCATGGGCTGTCTCCGGGATTCTCGATACGTCATCTCTTGCATGATGCAGGTGAGTCTGGAGAGCGCTATCATCAAGTTCTTGTCCTGCTCCTTCACGGGCATCTTGGACCTGCGCCAAAAGGGGCTTCCTCGGCAGGGTCTCACTTGTGTCTCGGCCACAACTATGGGAATGCCGCCGTGAAGGATGCAGTAGTTGGCTCGTCCTGCTGTGCCAATCACTCTTCCAGTCCCAAACAGGTCTGCGCGCAGCTCGTAGATCCACTACGACCCATGCACTGCGACCCGTGAGTGAACACGTTCGTTCAACGCCCCGAAAAAAAACACACAAAATAAACACACACAAAAAAGCGCCAAAAGCCCAAACAAAAACCGACCCCTACATATGGTACAGGTACCCCCCCAAGAACTACCTCTTTATATGTTTCATTGTTATAGCCCATCCCACTCTGTACCACTGCGGGGTCCGGTCTCTCCACCTCTCAAAACCGGTCATTCTTCATCCGGGTCCGAGGCACCGTAGCTCATGATGATGCTTCTGAAGCAGCACGCCTTTGAGCGCTTGTAGCTGATCCTGCAGAAGCTCCTGCGAGAAGGGAGTTTGGGGACGGGCCGTCCGGTTACCCCATGCCACATGGCGGGTCCAAGGGTTCATTAGGGTGCAAATCCCAAACACTCTATGTATGTGTGTTTAAAGAAATCACATATCATTTATATGTTTGAGCTACATTGAGCCCTGAAACTACCCAATGTAAGCAAGCATGTCATGGACCGTTTGGGAATGGAGTTGTGCGGCACACAGAGTTTGTGCAGAAATGCTGAACTGCCTTGGGTTGAATCAAATCACCCTACTCCAAACCCTTTGGAACCCTTTGGAACGAGGCAACTGCTGGTTGAAGTGAGACCTGGCATCAAAAGACTCCATCACCATGCAAGCATTGACTCACTGGGCATTCTTGGCCAAAAATTTATCCCTTTGGGAATAATAGAGGGGTGGTCGGTGCCAGGTTATCTCTTGGTCGTACACAATCAGGGGTGGGGCTCCTCTATTTAAGCAATCCACGGCGTAAAAGGCAAAAACCTGAATTCTCAGTTCGTACCTCGGAAAATGGTTACAAGTAACAAGCCCTAGGGATCCCTACGTACCTTCTCAGGTGCGGTCTCTGTTTTTTTACAGGGTCAGCTCACGCACTCCGAGGTGCTTGAAGATCGGGTCCCGGTAGCGTAGGTTGCAACAGTCCATCGAGTCGTTGGTTGCGCTTTCGCCCGCGAGCGGCATCCGATCTGTCCACTTGTGGGTCACCGAGTGCTATGACACCGACCACCGAAAATGAACAGCATTGACTACCTGACATGGTCAACCTACCAGGTTTTGACCCATCCCCACATCATCCCAACCTCGTAGCTCTGCTCGACCCGCTTGGCGGGGAGGCTCGCCATGGCTTGTTTTAGCCGGAGATTCGTCGTAGACACCGTAGATGCGTTTTGAACGATGTGTGTCATCGGTTTGGGTCCCGTCTCGTCCGCGGAGAACGTTGTGAACATGTCGACAGCCTGCGAAGAGGCGAGGCGAGACGTGGAGCTGCGAGGCCAGGAGTTCGGGGTTTCCCAATGCTCTGACAGCGATCGTGCAGCATTGCGCTCGGGAACGAAGTTGTTGTTTCTTTCTTTCTTTTTCAGGGCGCAGTTTCCAAGACAAAGCAAGTGGAAGCAATTTAGATTCAACAGGCTTAGCCATGCTTAGCCTAACATGGCTTTCGCTGTGCATGGCAGCATGGAAGAAACATGGCTGTCGAGTGCATCATCCGGCGCACAACCCATCGCCCAGGGCTGTCGAGGCGTCGGAACGGCGGGTGTTGGACATGTTTCACCTCCGGGTCGCGCGAACGAAGTCCAAAAGACTGGACACCAAATGACACCCAGAGAGGTGGAGAGTGACCTGAACGTTCGGACACTACTGGGGTACCTATGGTCAAAAGGGTCCTTCAACCTCTGTTGGTATATGGGTTTGTATTTTTTTTAGGTTCCCGGGCCGGGATGTTTGACTATGGGGTATGCTTCGGAGGTATGCTTCGGGGGTATGCTTCGCCTAAGTCGAACATCCCAGCCCTACATAAACTGGACACCTTAAAAAAAGACAAGCCCATATTGGTATATGCTTGACATGCGCGAACGGTATTATGTTCAATGGGTCAATGTCAATGAGTATTATTTTCATGAGTTTGATACGATTTGATGGATATAGTTCACTGAATCAATGGCGGGTGTCCCACTAGAAGACTTGTTGTTGTTCTGCATTTGACGACAGTCGCGACGAGTCTTTTATACCACTTGGCGGACGCTCACTTTGGCGTGGGGTTCCAGGGTTTGAATGGAATATTCCAAATCGCATGGAGTGTATCAATCGTTGCCTTCTGTGCCGTCATGATGTTCTTTTTGGCACATGCTAAGTATAGTACAAACAAGTTATAGATGACACTCCGACACTAACATGGCAGTTACAAAACACCAAGTTTTCCAGGGAAACATAATCTTTCTATCGCCAATGTTTCCAGCTCATTGCTTGGCTTGGCCTTAGGAACCTGGAAAACAACATATTCCCCAGGCCCAGAAGGGGATTTCACCAAAAGGAACCTCAAATTCACCTTCAGCAAAAGCAGCTCTGTGAGCCGGAGGTCCGGCTCAAACCCTCAAGTGCTCAGACCTGCACTGCTGCACACTGTGCGTCACCGGGGGGTGACCAAACCGGACCGGACCGACCTCGTCACACGCAGTGATGCCGCGTTCGGGCCCAAGACTTCACGACACGAAGAGGACTTCGTGTCTTCGGTATTTGGCACACCGAATAGAACCCAGACACGACCTGTCTGGGACTGCCAGGTGGGAATGCCAGGACGGACTGCCGATCAATTGGGGTGGTGCCAGGGGGGTCAATGGGGCGGCATATATTCCATACATGGAGTGTCTGGGGAAGAGACTCAAGATGAAACCACATAGCCAGTGGCACTGCTTCACACTAGCATTTCAGATCAGATATTGCTCCAAAAGGTCCTGTGCTGTAATCACACTGCCATGTGTGTGCTTCCCAACCGCTCATACCTACCTCCGTTTTCGCCTGGCTGGTGGGGCTGGTGGGTGGTGACCAGGCAGCTCCTTCTGAGAAAGGGCTGTTGAACGACATGAAAGAACTCCAGCAAATCATCCTGGAATACCTTCCATGATCATACCCTATAGACTCTAGACCAAGATAGATGCTTCACAACCGTGAGTGGCGCTTCAACCCTGACCGGTGCTTCAACCATGACTGGCTGGTGATTCATGACTGGATTGGCACCATTTCTGGTGGTGTTCGTCTGACGAGCAATGTGGTTCTGAATTACTCAAAACAATAATTAATTGGTGAAGGTTGATGAGAAATTCCATGGAATTCCTAATGGATTACTTCTAGACTGGCACTGGGGGAAGACCCAAACAAATAGAACACTGATGCTGCGAACGACCCACCCGCCATTGACGTCTCGCGCGGTCTGACCGGTGCCTGTCCGCCGGAGCGCAGCGAACGCAGCTGGTCAGCAGCTGCGACCAAGGGCCCTGCGACGCACTGGGCGTGGAAAATCCGGTCTTTCCTAGCCCACCAATGGACTTTCCATGGTCTTTACACTGCAAAGAATGGTGGTTTTTGCCATTCAACTGCTGATGTTCATGGTCTTTACACTGCAAAGAACATGGTTTTAGCAAGATTTTGCAAAGCCAGGTCGTCCACCGATCCTTTTAAATGGTCTTTGAAGGTAAACAGGAGATAAGAGCATGGAGTGGATGCCAACCCATCAGTTCTAATCGGTAGGTGTGCCTTTTTTAAAAGCTGCCCAGCCCATTCGTTCCACCACCAAACGTTTGAACTCTTGGGTATCCATTCCAGCAGTATCGGAGTACCGGAAGCTTCTTACTGGGACTGGCTGTGCCGAACTGGAGGAAACGAGTCGGATCCGTTCAGCCCGAAAAGAGGCCCGACCAGCCGAGGTGGCCATTTTTGTGGGGAGTCGAGAGAAACAAGTCATGACGAGATTCTTTGGGTATAAGTGTTGTAACATGCTATATAACTAATGGCGTTTTACCAGGGCACCCTCAAACCTTTTTGTTGCTTCACCCTGGGTGAAAACACATGCGTCCAATGGGTTTAAAATACACCTATAATCCTCTATACATGTTTCTTCAAAATCCACATTCAACATCAGACATGTGGCAACAGGTCTGCACCAGGGCCCCAGGACCTACAATCCGATCCCAAAGTCTGCTACGACACGCCAGTCGCGTCGCAAGGCCGATGCGTCTATCTTGACGCACAAAAAAAGAGCATCACGCACATTGCAAGGATCTTTTTGCTCTCTTGAAAAATGCACCCACGCTGTGTCTTTGAAGCCACCCCTCGCATCGCCAACAAAACTTCTAAGCGTCCACACCACTCTCATTGATGATATTGATGTAGTCGTCTGCAACGACATTCTGGCATCTCCATCGTAATTGATCTTTGTACACAAAGTGTGAAGAAACATTATTTAGTAGACATTTGCGCGTCGCATCTTCAATTCACTCATGTGCGGACTTGACGTTGCTCTCCAAGAAGCCTTCTTTGGGATCGACAAAGCAATTTCTGAGACCCTCCACCAGCCAAGCATGATCAATCCCCTTGCCAATGAACACTGCCTTGCTCTGCCGTTCCTCCGTTGGCCACGAGCCTTGTGGCATCCCACCGAAATGACAGTTCACCGCGTGAAAGATGTAACGCTCAGGAATGCCTTTCACATCCAAGATACCTTCGGCCACATGTGTTTTATTTTCCTGCGAATTTAAAGACAAGTTGGTGTCTTCGGGTTGTTTAATGTTGTTTTCCCACCTAATATGAAAATGGCCCTCTCGTCGTGGGCGTGGAAATGTTATGCACCCCCCCCCTGCCCTGGCTAAAGCAGAAGAAAAACGCGCAAATCCGCTGGTTCAGGGGGCTTTCCTACAACAAACAGTAGGCCGCAAAGTCCGCTGTTCTGCCCCTGTGCCTTTCATTCGATACATCTCCTTCGGATAGCGTTTCAAGACCGCAGCAAAGAAAACGTTGAGCTTCTCTTGGTGAAGAACACCATTTAACTTCACCCCCAAGGCTTGGATCGTGCCGTCATGTGTGTGGTCATCTTCCTCCAGGAAGGTGGCATCGAAGTCCAGTGCTTTGTCCAGGGAAAAGGCCTTCACATCACACAACTGCTCCACTGGAAGTGGCGTTTCGACATCTTTAAGGTTCAAAGGTAAAACCTGCGCAAAGGGATTCAAACGCTTCCTGCGCTGGCGATTGGGTGACTACAACAGTCCTCAAAGATATATATATATATAGGAAGCATTCACAAGTACGGCTGGAACAAACAACAACTGCACCAATCAAAAACATTACACAATCTTGCATAAAATATCATAAACTAGTATAACATACCTCCAACATTAAAAACACAAACAACTGAAAGGAAAACACATATCCAAACCATGACCCAGTGTCAAATGCTGCAGCACTCCATTGATTTCCATCTCGCTGCACAAATCCGTTTTCGTCAACAGCAAGCGATCGGAAAAGGCCACTTGTTCGGAGGCTTCATTGACACAGGACTTCTCACGCTTGGCCTCCAATTGGGACAACAAGTGCTTGGCATCGCAAACACCCAGGATGGAGTCCAAACGATAATTCTCTTGCATGAATGGATCCAAGAAGAATGTGGAAGCAATCCTGAGAAAATTTCTAAAAAACGAGACGCACAATCGAACGAAGCTGTAAGGTGCATCGTCTTACACTGATCCCTTTGAATCTTGAAATGCACGACATATTGACCGGTCAGCAGCTAGGACTAAACTGACTGCACTTCTACTTACTCAGTCAATCAATTGGGCACTTCTCATTCCCGGAGAGGGACGAACAAATAAAAACAAAACAAACCTCCAATGCACCAGTCAGCATGGACCATTAAACACCGAGAATCGGTGAAGGATCGGCTAAGCCAGTTGTCTCAATAAAGACACTGTCCAGGTGACTGCCACGAGCTCGAACATCTTTCAGCACCTTCTGCATTCCTTCAATGAAATCGCCACGTAAGGTGCAGCAAATGCAGCCTGATGTGATGGAATTAAAAAATTATCCCGGCAAGAGACCCCAAACAGTGCGTGTGAGGTCTATAAGCAGAAAGTCTAGAGATCTAGACGCATTGGGGTCCAGAGAGGTGATGGTGGTGATGAAGGTGGGGATGGTGGTGACGGTGGCAATGGTGGTGTGAGTGTGTGTGTGAGAGTCGGAGAGTGAGTGAGTGTGAGTGTGAGAGTGGAGAGTGAAAGTGAGAGTGGGAGTGCGGGTGAGAGTAAGAGTGCGAGAGTGGGTGATTGAGTGAGTGAGTGAGTGAGTAGGTAGTGAGTGAGTGAGTGAGTGACTGAGTGAGTGAGTGAGTGAGTAGGTAGGTAGTGAGTGAGTGAGTGAGTGAGTGAGCGAGTAGGTAGGTAGTGAGTGAGTGAGTGAGTGAGTGGGTGAGTGAGTGAGTGAGTGAGAGAGAGAGTGAGTGAGAGAGTGAGTGAGTGAGTGAGTGAGTGAGAGAGTGAGTGAGTGAGTGAGTGAGTGAGTGAGTGAGTGAGTGAGTGAGAGTGAGAGAGTGAGTGAGTGAGTGAGTGAGTGAGTGAGAGTGAGAGAGTGAGTGAGAGTGAGAGAGTGAGAGAGAGAGAGTGAGAGTGAGAGTGAGAGTGAGTGAGAGGCAGAGTGAGTGAGTGAGTGAGTGAGTGAATGAGTGAGTGAGTGAGTGAGTGTGAGCGCGAGTGTGATTGAGTGTGTGAGTGAGAGTGAGTGATTGTGAGTGAGGGTGAGTGTGAATGTGAGTGTGAGTGAGTGTGAGTGTGAATGTGAGTGTGAGTGAAGAGTGAGTGTGGGTGTGAGCGTGTGTGAGTGAGTGCGAGTGAAAGTGAGGGAGTGAGAGAGTGAGCATCTGAGAGCACAAAGTGCTGTGCCTGCTACGAAATCTGCACATCGAGGTTCACAAAAGTGCTGCGCTTGCCACGAAGTCTGCACTTCCATGTTCACAAAGTGCTGCGCCTGCCACGAAATCTGCACTTCGAGGTTCACCAAGTGCTGTGCCTG